CATCATAAAACAATATGGGAGTGAAATGATAGAAGTGTGCATGAGGTGCTTTGTTTGCATCCTGGGGCAAGTGTGTGTTTGTGTGTGTGTATCAGGGAAGGCTTTCTGGGGGAGGTGTTATCTGAGCTGTAATTTAATTAGCAAGTAGGAAGTTATTAGGGGCTGGGGCCAGACGGGGTGGTGGTGGGAGAGGATGACAATTGGTCTGGAGGGACAAGTAGAACATATCTGTCAGAAATCACACACTGGAGCACAAGGAACAGGTTGAGGAATGGTCCTCAGGGGGTGGACTATGAGGGCTTACTCTATGAGGGCTAGGGACCCCAGATTGTAGTATTCTATAGGCAGTATGGAGCCGTTCATTCATTCCACAAACATTTCCTGAGCGCCAGCCAAGTGCTAGGCACCGAACTTGATAGGCAGATGCAATGGCAAGCAAAACTGACCAGTTCCTGTCCTCAATTCTAGTGGAATTGAACTGGGAAGTGATTTGACTCAACTCTTTAAAGCGGGGAAGGCCTGAACAAGACCAGCAATCACTACGTGAAAAATGAGAGATTTATTTATGAACTATTTAGGGGTAAAAGTGAACAAGACTTGATGACTGATTGGCTGTCTGGGGGAGGGGGGAGACAGGTGTCATGGATGATCCTCAGGTTTATACCATGGATAGATGGGGGTTATACCTATTGGGATCAATAACAAAGAAGAATGAGTAGGACATTGGTCAGAAGACAAAGAGTTTAGCTTTGGACTTGTTGAGTGAGGTGAACATCTTTGCGTGGAGAGGGTTTAGCAGGTAGTTGGGCATACAAGTCTAAAGACAAAAGAAAAGATCCAGAGACACGAATTTCGTGGCATATGGGTGAGAACTCAAATTACGGTAGTGAAAGGAACTTCTAACGAAAACATGGAAAGTGATATGAGGACCAGAAGTTATGCCCCAAATGAAGGCATAGATGGAAAAAGGATGCAAAAGATGGAGAGAGGAAAAGTTACCAATGGATAACTTTATTCAGGAGGAAGGATAGTTTGGGAAGTTGCAGTTCATCTGTTGGAATATTGGTGGAACAGTAAATGATGAATGATTCAGGTTAGTTCCTTAAGCCTTGACTGAGTGCTGAACATGCACCATACATCGTGCTGAGCCAAGAAAGAACAAGAGAGGGAAGATCCAGCTTTATCCTTGCCCTGGAGGAGCCTGTGGTCAAGGAGGTCATTGCCTCTATTTGACTACCAGATACCAGTATAATTGCCTTCTGAGTAAAAAATACCATTTGATGAATCTTAGCATAGCATCATTAAAAAAAAAAAAAACCCTTATTTTCAAGCATTTTTGAGAAATGTTAGAAGGCATGGGAGTGTTCAAGCCGTTGAAGAGAGAAAACATGGGGAGAATCATATGCTTGCTCCACATATTTAAAATGGCTATCTTTTGGGGCCCCACAACTAGACAAAATGTGAGTGGAAATTAGAGGGAAATGAAACCCGTTTGTATGTTATATATTTGTATATTGACCAAGAACTTCCTGATGGAGCAAAGCCTCTCACTGTCGGCCTGCATTTATGACAAAAGAAATAATGTCTGGAGGACGATTGGGCTCTCAGTATCAGGTTAAAGTGTTGATTCCATGATCCTGAAGGTCTCTCCAGCCCTGGCTTTTCCATCTAGCCCTGTGAGTGTCTCCTAGAGCAGTGGTTCTCAGACTTTAAAGAATCACATGCCCCTTTGACAATCTGATGAAAAGTTATGGACACTCTCCCCAGGGGAGGAAAATGCAAGTATGTCCATAAACACAATTATTGCTGAAACAAGCCCCCCCCCCCCACCAAGTCTTTAGGAGGTCTCTGGACTTCAGGTTAGGACCTGTTGTCTCAGTGGATTTCCAATAGATGAGAACATAGGCATCGCTTACTCTGAAATTATATACATTGAAGAAAAAAGCCTCTTTGGGACTTAATTTAGAACCATGACTATGGTTTGCTATACATCTAATGCAATGCATCATTGATTTTATTCTGTCAGCTTTACTTTACAAGTGGCCCCGAGCAACTCACAACTTCACAGATATATGTACATAATTGTATGCACATATCTTACTTTAAAAATAATAATGATGCTGTTTGGTGTAACCACAGAGAGTCACAGAGATATGTTATTGTAACTGAGATTCTCGGGTAGATGGATTTTGGGGGAGTTCTTTCTGATTAGGACTGTCTTACATATTTATGCCAGAAGAGTTCATGAGCTATTTCTGATACTTAGACTTTAATCATGCTTAATGAACTGAACTAAACATAATTCTTGTTCTGTTTTGGTAACCTTGTGGATTTCTCCTAATGCTCAGTTTTGTATGACTATACCGTTCTTGAAATGCTAATACCCAAAATGCTAATTCAAGAGAGGACCACAAAAGTTAGATTTCATTTCAGAGAAGGGCATTCAGTATTCACAGGCCTCTCTGGAAGAGCAAGGCTGTGAGAAGAGTGATATTAGGTGGAAAATATTGGCTCCTTCCTTTGGTGAACACACAAATTTAAACATATAGGTTGCACAAAATTTGGATAAACTGAGGTGGAATCCAACATTTCTTGCATGAATGCCTGTATAATGTGGCAATAGCTGTGAGAAAAGAGGAGCCCGGCATCTAAGACCCAACACAATGAAAATGCAATGAATCGGAATGCCTCACAGATCATAGCGGAATCAGAATTTCCAGCAAGGAAAATCTTTTCATGGTGAATTAAGTGGTGGATGAAGAAAAATGGTGATGAAAAAAGGTAGGCACAGATCACAAACACTGGGCTCAGGGCTCACTGCTGAAGATTTAAGAACCTTAGCTAAAGCTATGCAGAATAGAATGTGGAAAATTGAATTTACTAAACAATTAAGCATTGAATTAATCTACATCCTGCACAGTAGAAAAGTGGGGGAGGGAGCAGAGCAGAGCTGAATAAATCAGTGGAGCTCATTAAAAGATAGTGAATATATCAGGTCTGTTGTAGCATAAAGGAGGACAGTTTCCTGTATAACATGGAATAATTCTTGGGTTCTAAATCACCTTTCTGGAGTCCTAGTCTTAATCAGATTAACAAACATGCTTCTGATGAGGTTGTTCTGTTGCTCTGTATTTTAGCTTGTTATCGGTAGCTTTTCTATTAATTACGAGTCAGATCACCAGTCAACAATAGTAGTGAGGGACAACATAAATAAAATGAGAGAGCCCAGGAGATGTCACTTGCAGGATCTCATGCATCCTGAAACTCCCACGGGTTCCTGCAGCCTCCCACATGCCTTGCCGGTCTTTTGTTCAATTACAGTTAATGCAATACTTTGCCATTTTCTCCTTCTAATTATATTTTCAAGTGGGATTTGTAGCACATAGAAAAACATCCTTTTACATGTCGAGGCACCGGGGTTTTGTGCCTGGCATTGTCTGTCCCCTGGGTGCTGTACCATTCTTTCTGCAGAGCTCTGAATAAACAAGTCCCCCTTTTAGAGCTGCAGTTGTACAAACTGAAAATTTATGCATTAACTGTTTGCATTCTGAGCATGTGTTCCAGATTACGTCTTCCAGCATTCTTCTGACATGCTGCAGAATGCGTGTTTGTCAAAAGCTCTTCTCTCACAGCGCACATATCTTTCAACCCCAGCATCAGCGGATCAATTAGCACCGTTTTTGAGAATATGCATAACGGTTGAGTCAGACATACAAGTGGTGGCTCTTTCTGCGACTTTATTTCATTGGGGGGGGAGGGGTGCATTAGTCTCCCGGCCAAGATTCTAGGGTAGGTGGCAGGCAGGCATCCTTTTCAGGAACAGGGACTCTTCCTTTGATTCTTACACAGCACGCCTCTTAGATGGGATCTTCCCCTTTCTCTCCCTGGGTGTCAGAGGCATTTTGATCTCCTCAGCCTTTCTTATCTTCTCTGGGACACAAAAATACTTCTCAAGACATAAGCAGAGAGCAACTCTGATTTTGCTAGGCACATTTAAAATGTTGGGAGGGTCAGTAAACTTTACTACTACACGGCCACGAACCGGGACATCCACTGACCGAAACGAGGTACGCATATTTTACACACAAGATCATCTTGCCTTTGCCACTAATAATCTTGAAGACAAATACCACTTCCCAGCCAAGAAACAGCCTTCTCTCCTGCATCATTCCTACTGTGCAGGATGACCAGTGACTCATAAGGCTGTTTTTGAAAGCTAGCACTAAAAGCTAATTAAAATCTTTTCTGGTGATAAAGGGAGATTTGGGAGAAGTGTTGCCATGATTGTTTTCCCCAAGAATTTAATTTACTGCCAATTTCTCCTATCTGAATGTTACTTTCAAATGCACCCAGTGATAAGAAGCAACATCTGTTTTCCGTTCAATAGTACAAGAAGGCTCGGCATGGGGCTGAGTGTACACAGTCCATGTGAATCTATTGTTATTCTCATTCCTTTTTTGTCCCTGTGCCTGGTCCATTTGCCATGTACCATCCGGCAAACAGCTGACACATACTAGCTATTATGGACCCCGGCCTAATTGTGAGATCTTAAAAGCTCTGCCATGTTTGTCTTCTAGGATGAATCAGAGTCCTCTCTAAACCGCAGTGCTGTAGACCACGGCTCCCATTTTGCATTTTCAGAGTAGTAGCAGACTGTTGTGCCAGAGGGTTTGTTGATGTTAAAAATATAGTCAGAATCAAGTGGCAGCATTCCCTCCCCCCCCTGACTTATTGGCCTGGGATGTTTCTGTTTTCCTCGGTAATAAAGCATACAATTACTTATAGAATAACTATTTATAGATATTATTTTAGCTCAGAAGCAGAACTTGGCAAATTTTCAATGTGCCAATGTAGCTCCAAGCTGGTTTGTGAAGGGGAACGGGGAAGATGTCTTGGCTGTCCGTCCTAGCCTTCCACAGCTTCGTCCTTGTATGATGGGATCCCACCGGACCAGTGTTAACAGACCACTCGATTTGGATTTCTGATTTGTGCCCCCACAGCCCTCTTGGAACAGAGATCACGATGACACGGCATCGACTCGTTCGGGAGGAACCCCAGGCCCTTCCAGCGGTGGCCACACATCACACAGTGGGGATAACAGCAGTGAGCAAGGTAGGAGAGGTGTTCTCATTCTCTTGTGCTACTTGTGTGATTTTTAAGGGTTGACAAATCAGAAATGTCTAGTTAGTTCCTATTTGTGCAGTTTTCCCTAGAACATAAGCCCCTTAGAGTAGGAGAGTTCGCTTCTCTTATTTTATTCTCCAGACCCTTTCTTCTTCTCTGCCATCCCAGCTGCCTAACTGCCTGTCACCTGGCCACCTCCATAAAACAGGGTCGGGGAATTGACTGAGGGCAAGTTTAGAGGAGATTAGAAGTTCAAATGTGCGTAAAGAGCATGTCCACTAATACCCTGCGATACAAATAAAAAGTAGTATTATTACTTGCCCTAAGAGGCTTCTCAAGAGATCATGAAGAAACATCTTCCAAGATTCCAAGTCAGTGCTGTCTTCAGATGCTTAGAAAGCAGTGGGCCTCTTAGGAACTCATGCTGGGCTTCCCTCTCCACTGGGTTGAAGCCGTTTTTTCTGGATTTACTCATCCACATCTCTTAAGTGCTCGACTTGATCGCAGAGTCAGACTACAGGGACTTAGGAAGAAATGAAAAGAAGCCAGATCAATTTAGCTCGTATTGTTCCTTGAATGCACATATCTGTGTGCGTATTTGCGTGTCCATTGATGTGCACGTCTGACCGTGACTAGTAGGAAAGAAAGTTTTAACATAAAGTTAATCTTCAGCAAAAAGGTGAATGAGTATTCAGATGTCTTGTACTGCCTTCGGTGAGACCCACTGCAGTGGAATTTTGTGTTCAATTAGAGCAACCAAAGCTTAAGAGCGTATTCTCTGAGTATAAAAAGACAGCTTTATTGAAGTTGACTCTGAGCCCACAGTAGGTGCATACTTTAAAATCTGGTTTGATGATCATGTTTCGTTGGATTGCCATTAGATAACAAAAGAATTTTGTTTTCTCACATACATTGGGCTGGACCAATTAGAATTGCAAAGTCTAAAATGAATTTGACATCATTAATTTGAAAACAAAACCAGGAAAGTTCATTTTTTTTTTAAGGCACATGTATGCTACTTGAACTGGGAATAGCTTCTTCACATAGAATTTTAAGCATCTGAGATATTTTATTGTTCAAAGAAAAGTTGCTGACTCCACCACAACTCTAAGTTTAGTAAAAATGGAGCGCAGGATAGTAAACCAGTTCAGAGCTGAGGCAGAAACATGTAACCTCTGACCTCTGACTTTTACTGGAAAATGATATGCAGCATAAATCCATGGGGCCTTTTCTCTTTCAAGTGTGTGTATGTATATGTGATGGTGTTGCTGCTCACGGGGCTGGGGCTAAGGTGATGTCAGCACTTTCAATATGAAGCCCTATTTTCAACTTCTTCCATGAGTTTTCAAAAAGGTGTAAAAGGAATCTAAATTCTTCTTCCTGTACTCCAAAATTGCGACATGAGGTCATAGCCTCTTGTTTTATTTGTTTCTTTTTCTTTTTCATTTTTTGCTTTAAAAAAAAATATATATATATATACATATATATATATATATATCTCGTCTAGGAACAGGCAGATAGCTTAGCTGCTGCTTTGAAGGCTTGCAAACTGCTGAAATGTACTTGAATTTAAAGTTGTAGCATATATGCTTTCTCAGACGTTATCTGATAAAAGGATTTTGAGAGGGCAAAGGCCCTGTCCCGGTTCTTCCCCTGTGACCCGTCATAACCAGGAATTAGGAATTTTGCATGTTTCCTTTTCCTTCAACAAGTGTTCTCCAAAGGCCAATTTAATAATGAATTTGATTGTAACCAGGAGACACGTATCTTTCACATTACCTGAGTTTTCGACTTACATTGCTTCTCTGTTGTATTTTTTCATATAAGAGCACCACCTACTTCTGTTTTGTTTTGTTTTTTTAAGAATTTTCACATAAATGATATCATTTGAATGAGCTCAGTTGAACCTTTCTAAAACAATCCTGGTCCCATTTGACAGAGGAGGAAAATAAGGTATGGATGCGCTGAGCACTTTGGGGAGGTCCCGGTGCAGCATCAGACCCCAAATTTCAGTTTCCTGATTATTTGTCTAAGATTCTTCTCCTCATGCCCTCTTTCCCGGCTCTCCACTAAAGAACTAAGCCAACGACTCCCACCGTGATCCAAAAGAAGCTTTCTGTGTAGACTTCCCTCCCCCCACCCTTCTGCCTCCCCCCGCTCTGTCCAGCACCTTGAGAGCTGGGGTGCAGGGGGCCCTCCTTTGGTCTTACCTGCCCTTCTCTGTGGCTTCTCGTGGGCAGTGTGCTGTCTCCCCTGCTAAAGGCAGAATCATGCCTGCGAGTGTTGCCGCCATTATGTCTGTGCATTTCCATGCCAACCGTGACCCTTCTAAACCTGTTTTCATCCCTGAGACCTGTGGAGCTGGGTCTTTGTGCAGCCTTTGGATTAACTGTGCACAGTGGCTTTTCCTTGTTTGCCCTGCCTGCCTTTTCTGGCAGCATAGACGTGTAAGCTGTGCCAGCATTTGGCCCATAGTGTGTGTCCTAAATAGTTATTTACACAGTTTGAGTCCATTTTAGTCAACTGGATAAATAACAGCCCTCTTCAAAAGATTTATAAATCCATAAATATGTCTTTATACATACCCAATAGACAGAAATAACTCAATCTGTCAAAAACATATCCAGAGAGGTGTTTCCCCTACAGACAGGAGTAATACATATTTTAAAAGTTTCTCTACCTACTGTTTGTACTGTGTTTCTTTTTCCTCATTCCTTTTCATTTTTTACCACTTCATTATGGCACCTGTGGTACACACACACACACACACACAAAAAAAAAAAAAAGAAAGAAAGAAAAATCCCTAGGCTCTAGTCGTCTGTTAAATAACCTTATCTGTGCATGACGTAGGCATACAACAGGCTGTGTCTCAACCGAGTCCTGTTCTTTTGGACTTTCAAAGTAAAAAAAAAAAAAAAAGTCATTCAGGAAATGTGTAATGTTCTGACAGATTTCAAAATACAATGACAATTCCTAGTTAGCCTTCCAGCAATTTGGGGGATTTTGAGTGCCTGATGACTTGCCAAATTAGCGGCTGTTGTGATTGATGGAATAGTTTTAGTCCAAATTTTTACCTAAGCATAAAACTATAAAACAGAAAATCCAATGCTGGGCATTCTAAAGAGAGCATATGCAAAAGATACATAATTAAGAAGATGCTAAAGATTATTATTCTTCAGGGATTTAATGTTTATTCATGATTTACATCTTTCCCCCAACTCAAATTGTTTATCATGGTAACTTTTCCTATGGCATCTACTTTCATGTAATATTAACACTGTGGCCGCTTGCAGGAAATTGATTCTTTAATAGTGGCGCTCCTTTAAGTTGGCATTGAAAAGGAAGGCCTGACATCTGTATTTGGTTGGGGGTTCCGCAGCTGTTGTTGCAACATTGATTCTGTGTAGTCCTTAACTTCCTCAAAGCACTTCCAAAGCTCTGAGATTGAATTCCGATTTTATCCCTGTCTATTATTTGCCCCTTTCCCATTTCAGAAGAGAAAAAAGTAAGCTCGGAAATATTGAAGAAACTGTCGGAGTCAGCTCTAGGATCTTGTCTCTTGGCTTTGCTTTGTAACTACTTTAGGATGGGGTGTTCTCATGAACCCAGGCAGAGTCTCATAAATAAGATGAGGTGCACATTGGCAGATACATGACCCTTTCGTGTGTCTTTTTTATCCTATCGTGTACGGCTGCCCTACTGACCAGATCCAGGGTCTACTCTAGGAAGCAGGTGGCTTGGAGCCAGAGAACACCAAGCATATCTGGTGCCTTTCCCCACCGTATTTGAACTCTTTCCCAGCAGGGCTGCCGCAGCCACTCTACAACTCACAAGCAGCTTTAGATATGACTGACCATGGTTTGCGTTTGGGCACATCTTCCTTTTTTTTTTTTTTTGTTTTTGTTTTTGGTTCAACATCAAGAGAGATGAGTATATGATAGTAATAAAATAATACAATAACATATTAAGGGCTGTCAGTCAGTGTAGGTTATTTCCCTCCCTCACTTTGTAAAGATCACAAAGGTTTAGAGAGGCTAGGAGGCTTGCCCAGAGTCACATACGGGTCGATAGTAGAGTCAGGACCTGAACCCATACAGTGTGACTCCAGAGCCCAAGCTCCTAATGCTTGTGTCCTCCAGTGCTTTCGTGTGGCGAGGAATGGGAAACAGATCACTGATGGACACTCTTTCTGTTACCAAGTTGCGGTCTCTTCTCCCCGTGTCTGTACGGGGCCTGGCCCTGTCTCTGTAAGGGTGACGGAGCCGGGAATAGGCCAGAATCAGTGTTAGCCTCAGGGGGGTTATACTCTGCCGGGGAGTGAGAATCTAGTTTCTTGTGTTAAGTAGAATGATTGAGATCTTTACAGAGGAGCATGATGATTGATATGATTAATTTGTATTGAGAGCCTATACCATTTCGCTCAAAGATTTGTTGAATTGAGAATAGGAGCATAAAAAACAAATAAGGCCCTTTCTCTTGCAGAGCATTTCCCATTTAAAGCTCGTCTCATTTTCCTCTTTTGTGAGGAAAAAGAAAAAGTATTATTTCGATGTTGAAATTTGATGTAAAACATCTCAACTCTAAAGGGCTTTAATGATTGCTGAAACCTCTAAAACCCACTTCTGAACTTCTCCTTTTGGGGCCAGGACTCAGTTCGACAATAGTATCTTTGCTCCCACTTCAAAAAAAAAAAAAAAAAGCAACACCGGGGTGTTTCTTTAAAGATGAACAATTGAAAAGCACTGCTATTTCTTTATACTAATGTGTCAATAGTTGCAGTGCCTCCCAGTGTCCCCTCTGCCCCCCACCCCCGCACTCCCTCCCCCCTCCAGCTTTTGTCAGAGTTCAGGCAACCTATAGGCAGAAGGCAATCCCATTTATTATTGAAGGGAATGTGAAGGCCGTTGTTTTAAGCTTACAGGCCAGCAGGCAGAGCCGGCTGGGAGGGGGCGGGGAGCAGGGAGAGGGGCGGTGGGGAAGGGCCACAT